GGTCTCCTTGTTGGGGAGAGCGCATCCCTTTTATAGATGAAGGGGATGGCCTTACAAGCGAGGAGAGAATCGTGATGCTACTAAGTCTTGTTGCCCATGCCACCGGTACAAGATGATTGTAGGCGCCCATAACACCGTCGATGTCGGGCGCATGTGGGAGGTTTTACCGTGTTCTCCATGTAGGGCAAATGATGGCGCCTACAACACTCAAGTGGTGCCCGGAGGCATGTGGGGGAGCCTTACCATGTTTGTCATGGTGTGGGAGTTGATGGCGCCCACAACACTATAGGGCAAATGTCGGCGCCCACAACACCGCTGGAGATTACGATATGCACGAAGGTTGTAGGGCACCCTCCCGACATGTCCTGTTAGTCTTTCCCTGCAGTGTATAGGTGCGGTCCTTGGTATTGCGGTTGACTTGAGTGTCCTATTTTACCTGCTCCGCTCGTTACCTGGTCCTTACCGAGCGGGTATCCCCGGTCGGTCGGTCTCAGTCGGCACCGACTGCGCCAATCGGAGAAGAGCTGTAAGCAGGGGTTTGGTGCATCCCCGGTCGGAGACACGGGTCAGAGTTCGGAAGCGGTGTTTGGCCAGGCCTTTCGGCCGGAGAGGCGGGCCGGAGTCAGAAGCGAGCGCTGTTCCTCCTTGGCCAGGCCTTCCGATCAGAGAGGTGGGCCGGAGTCGGAAGCGAGCGCTGTTCCTCCTTAGCAAGGCCTTCTGGTCGGACATTGGATCGCTCTTCTGGCCTGTCGTTTAGGTATTTGGGCTGGCCAAGGAGTTGTGCGTCATTCGCAATATCGTCTGCTGGGCCGAGCCTTTGCTGGGAAGCCGGTCCATGAGGGACCCTGGGTTTATGAACCCGACATTATGTGTCCTAGGTATTTAAGCTGTGGTTTAGCAAAGGAGCACTTAGACTGCTTCAGAAAAAAGCCGTTTCTTCTGAAGAGTTTGAAGTACCAGTTGCAGATGTGTACTTTGTTCTTCTAATGAGTTGCTATAGATCAAAATATCATCCAGGAAGACTAAGACAAATTTCCTCAAAAATGGTTGCAGAATTTGATTCATTACACATTGAAATGTGGCAGGAGCATTGGTAAGGCCAAATGGCATTACTTTAAATTGATAATGGCCATCATTAGTTTTGAAAGCAGTCTTGTACTCATCCTCAGGTAACATCCTGATTTGGTGATAACTTGATCATGTCCAATTTGGTGAAGAACTGGGAGCCAGATAGTTCATCCAAAATTTCTTCTATAATAGGTAAAGGGAACCTATTCTTGACTGTGAGGTCATTTAGTTTTCTGTAGTCCACACAAAAACACCAAGTTCCATCTTTCTTTTTAACCAAGAGTACAGGTGATGCAAATGGGCTGTGACTGTGGGTAATGAGTCCAGCCTATAAAATTTGCTTCACTTGCTCTTCTATTTCTGTCTTCAGTTCTGGGAGTAGTGGTATGGCCTAGCATTCACAGGCACTGCACCACGGATCAAGGGTATTGCATGATCATAGCTTCTAGAGGGAGGTAGAGTTTCTGGGTCTTGAAATAATTGGCTATGTTGGTCCAGGACTTGTTGAATGCATGATGGTACCTGGTTAGGGGCAGTATCAGTTTGACTCAAGGCAGACTCTATGGTAGTGACAATTGCAAAGGGCCAAGCATCATTTCCCTTGGTTGTATTATAGAGTTTGGTGGCTGATATTGGGGTTGCTATAACTGGAGGAGGTAACAACCCTTGTAGCTTGATCAATCTGCCTTTATGATTGAACTCCAAAGTCTTGTTGTTCCAATCACAAGTCATGGGACTATTGTTCTTGAGCCAATCATAGGCCAAAATGGCATCATAAGGTGCCATGTCCAATACTATCATATCATTGGATAAGGTGTGACCTTGTAGGTACTATTGAAGATTGGTAACCTTGGCTGTAGTTGTTAACCAATGACCATCAGCCAGTTTAACCTTCCTGGGTGTGATAGGAACTGTTGGTAAGTTTGCCTGTATCACAAAATTTGCACTGACGAAACTGTGTGAACTGCCTGAGTCTAGCAATACTAGCATCACCTTGTTCTTAACCAGGGTTTTGAGTTTAATTGAATTATCTATATCAGTACTAGAAAAGGCATGCAAGGATAATTGACAGAATTCCTCTGTGAGAGCATCCTCTATAGCTAATTGATTCAGGTGCTCCTCAGTAATTTCCTCCTTGTCAAGGTCATTAATGACCAAGGCATGTACCTGGGGTTTTTGTTTCTTAGGGCAGACTTCATTATGGCTAGGTTCATACTTGTCACCACAAGCAAAGCAGAGATTGTTTGCCCTTCTATAATCCTCTGCAGATTGTAGTTGGACTGTTGTGGGGGATTGTCCCCTCTGTGCACAGCAGGCTTCTGAGGTGGGACAGCTCTGTTGTATTTGGTCTTGTTTCTCTCTATTATTCTCTGCTAAATTCTAGCAATCACTGATGCCCTTTCCACTGTAACAGGGACATAAGGTTCCACAGTAGCTTTGATCTCTTCATTCAATCCTTGGACATATGTGATTGCAAAGAAGAGTTCATCATAGTGGCAATTGTGCTTGGAAATGTCAAACTGCAAGGACTGAAAAGCTATTGTGTATTCCTCCACAGATCTAGTTTGTTTGAGGGAGACCAACTCATTAATTGCATTCCTATAGTCATCAGCCCCAAACTTCTCTTGTATGACTTGATAGAAAATCTTCCATTCAGGTATAGCATGATTCTGCTTATATGCCTGCCACCATTTGGAGGCATTGCATTGTTGCAGCTGTTACCTTGAACCTCTCAGGAATAGAGTAGATGGTGAAGTAGTTGACACAGTTGTCAAACCATATCTTTGGATTGGAGCCATCAAACTTGGGGAAATGTATCTTGGGAAAACTGTGATGAGGTAGAGCTTCTTCATGCTGTTTTGGTTGCTTGGAAGAGCCTGGCCTGAATTCATGTTTCTTTGTTGCAAAGACATTCTGGAAGTCATGTTCTTCTTCCTCAAAAACAACAGAAACATCATCACAGTGGTCGGAAACTGCTTCTTTCTCCATGTGACGCAAGGTTAGACTAGCAACTGCCTGCTCATTAGCCTGAACCTTATTCTCTATCACCTTCTGATCATCCTTCGTGGCATTGAGATCATGTTTGATCTCCTGCTGGATCAAACCATGTCATTCATCTGCTGAAAAATGAGATCAAAGTTTTCCATCACTTGGTCCCAACGGCCCTTGTCATCATCTGAGGACATCGACATGGTGTCGAGTACGAATTGGGTTTGCTTCGATGGTTTGGGTGGAGCCGTGGTGACTAAATTGGTAACAGGAACTTAAAATTGGTGGATCAATCTGTTTGGTATACACCTCCCCGTGAGCTTGCTAAACCACGTCGCTGATTACTCCTGGAAGTGAGGCACCACCAAGGGATTTTACACAGAGATGTGCTCTGCAACCTGAGTGAGTGGACACTTCACCGCCGTCACCACCACACAAGAATTGGTACAGGAGCTTACGGAATTTTATACAGGTACTTGTCCCGCAACCCTGTGCTCTACCGATTGCTTGCTAATGAGAGTAAGGGAGCAAAATTGGGTGTTGCTCACCATGATTCTCGCCTCCTTAACCAAGTTTGTGTTGAAGTAGTCCCCGAGTTGAGTATCGAGCCGTAGATGTAGCGAAGTTGGTGGATTTGTGGGTGGTGGTGGGGTTGCTGATGGATTGGTAGATGATGGTGGAAGTAGGCTACGCCGAAGCCGCTGCTAACCCAGCTCAACCAAAGGGCAGTCTCCTGAGACCTCATATCGAACACCTGGAGGGTGCCCGACAGAGATCGATCTGCATACCCGGAATTACGAGATGTAGATCAAAGCAAGGCGGAGGCGGAAATGCTACCTGAGGCCGGTGTATGTTGGAGGTTGTTGTCGCGCGCCGAGATGTCAGATCCGCCACTACTCGCCAATCAGCAACCGAGGACCCAGATAACTAAGCGCGGAGTGAGATCGGGAGATCCGCTGCCCACGTTGAGGAAGGACTATCTCGATACCACTTGTCACGTCCTTTAGCGCGGCGATCGCCGCCGTCAGCGTGAGGAGATCAAGAGTGATACACAAGAGATGGAAACAGAGGAGAATCTTCCTCTGTCCGAGTTCTTTTTCAGATATGCAATAGTTCCCGAGTTTGGCTTACAGCAGCTTATAAGCTGAGTCCGGCCCATGGCCCACATGTCATAGAAACGAATTACAGCATGTAAATAGATGACGTTTTGCAGTAAAGGAAAACGTAAAGCTTCAGTGCATCTTCTTCGTTCCTCTGTCTGTGGTGGCCTAACAAGTGGCCGCCGCGGCGGCGACAGAGGTCGACTAGCCGGCAAAGTTGAGTTGATCTGTGAAAGCGATCCGATCTTCAGCATGGGCTCCCCACCGTAGAACTGGTAGTGGTAGGTCTCGTACCTGTACCCACAACCGGCGCCAATGTTGCGCACGTCGACGGTTGACCCATTGAAGGTGGAGTTGCCGACTAGGTCCTGCAGGCACTGCCAGCGATCGGCGCCGGACATGTCCGGCGTGCACTGCATGAGCGAGTAAAGCGGTGGCGTGATGACGTCCATGCGCACCGTGCTGTACCACCTGATTGCCGTGGAGTTGTACACGGCCCACTGCATCGTGTAGCTCAGCAGCGCTCTCACCAGGGTGACGAAGCCCTGTTCGCTTCTCTTGTAATCTGTACTTTTCAGTTTGTTTTTTTTTTTAGTCGGAATAATATTTTTCTCTCACAACAAAATCAGCGAAACAGTATTTTGGTTTGTTTTTCAATGCGAAAGGCCAAAGTCAGCGCCAGCGCTTCGTCGTCGTCGGGCTGCTCCACTCTGGTGACCTATAGCCTTATCTGGCCCAGATTGGCGCGCGTAAGTGAGGAGGTCGTCGCCGAGAAGAAGGCAAGGCAGAGGTCGTCGTGACACGGCTGCTTCTTTGATGTACGGGCACAGACTCGTCTGCGCGTCACGGAAGGCGCGCGTCGTGCAGTCTGAGGCAGGATGAAGCGTTGGTGTTGCCTCGGCAAAGGGCGAGGGCGAAGACCTGGTCTGGGACCGCGCCGGCGCTGGCCTTGGTGAAGAGGGCAGGGGAGGAAGAGGCGTTTGACGGGAGGCTCGTGGAGAGGAGCTGCAAGTTGGCTTGGTACTTGCTGCCGGCCGTGTCGTTGCCGCTGCTTCCGCAGTGCTGCCATGGCAGGTAGGGAGCAACGAGCGGCAACACAAGGAGTAGCAGCGGCAGAACAAGCAACATGGCCATTGCCAGTCGACTACACACACCAATGCGACACACAATTAAGTTATATAAAGTGCACTTGGAGACTGTGAATATGTATGTTGAGTTGTCGACATGTCCATCGTACGTGCACTAGGAGAATTTTTTTTATTTTTAATCCTTTTTAAAACTTTTTTCTAAATTTGACACTGTTTAATTTTTTTTTCAAATCTAACATTTTTTGCCGTGCCTATTTCTGTGGCGTGGCCAAACCATACCGCCGCGCCATGCATGGCGACGCAGCCATGCCAGCTTGCCACCGTGGCGTGACCGTGCTGTCACCGGTACGATGGCGTGGCGGCGCCGCACGCGCCACAAATCGGTAGCGCGGCGCGCATGCATGCCATCTGACTGACAGCAAGGCCAGTCTGAGGCCCGCGACATGGCCTCCTCTTCCCTCTCTCTCTCTCTCCATTCCTTTTCTCTTCCTCCTCTGTTTCATGCGCCATCGCCATGTGCATCGTGTCCACATCGCGCCACCACCACCACTCCTTGCGTCCTCCATTGGCCGCGCCTCCATCCCTCCCTCTCTCCCCATTCCCTGCTTGAGGAGGGTGGGGATCAGCCCTTAGTCGCCCAAGCGCCTCCTTGTTGGGCCTCCGTGCGGCCTTGGCCTTCTCTCCTCTCAAATCATCTGGATTGACCCCAGATGGTCCCCTTCGTTGCTAAGGTATTTCCCCCCTCCAAGACCCTCAATTTAAGTGATTTTTGGTGATTAATTTTTGAATCAAGTGATTAGGGTTAGTGATTTAGTATAGTTAGGTAGTTACATTTTAGGGTTTAGGTTGTATGTTGTAGGCTAGTTAGGGTTTAGTGTTTGTTTAGGTAGTTAGGGTTTAGGTTTTTGTTGGTAAGGATTTTGGGTTTAGGGTTTGGTTAGGTAGTTAGGGTTTAGTTAGTTTGTAGTAGTAATGGTAGTTAGTATAGATACTATTTTTGTAGTGTTGGTACTTAGTCGTACGTGAGAAGTTGGCTTTGGCACGTTTTCAAAAGAGACCCCCTATTTTCCCATATCCTACCCGCAGTCCGTCCGCAGAGTCAAAATCTTATTTTTATTTATTTTTATTCCAAAAATCAGATTCACTTATTTACAGAATTACCATCTAGAACTTATTTTCTTCGTATCTTCTACATTTTAGATCCGATTTCAGTGCTTTTCACGTCGGTGTGATCCTAGCAACACGTAGATTAGATTTATAAGCCTTTCAACTTCTTTTTCTACTGTTTGGTGTACTGTTCTCATTAGTTTATATTTGTTTGTTATGCATGTATGTATGGATGCTTTGTGTGGTGCTATTTGATCTCGAGTAGATTGTGAGCTGTACAATGGTGATATGGGAGCAGCACTTTGAAGATTAAGACCAGAAGTAGTACTCGGAAGAAGGCAAGTATAATATGAGGCTCCTTAACTCCTATTCACTATTAATGCAACCATAACCATGTGCATGTGTCTAAATGAACCGCCTACAATTTACTACCTTGTTATTGTCCACCTTAAATCCTTGTTTACCTAAGTTTTCAAAAATCCTTGTTTACCTATGGGTTATGCATGTGGGTAGTTATGCTTAGCTTGCTCTACAATTATTAAAGATCTATAGTCTTGATTAATGATCTATGCAATTGATATTTAAAAGATACTTTTTAGCAACATGGAACCAAGGTGCTAGAGCATTGGGTTTTATGGTGCTCTGGTTTCTCTCCATAAGGACTTAATTTTTAAGCGGCAACCCAGGACTTACCGTACAACCTTGAGGACTACATGGCTCTGGTCTTAGCTAAGAAACATGATCTGTTCTAATTCATGAGCAGCTTACTAAAAGGGCAAAAGGGGCGTACCATGATGGGTATGGGTCACATCCGTAAGGTGTGTACTGTGCCACATGTATGAGTGTCGTTCTTGGAGATGGGGTCCATAACATTTGGGAGATGGAATCCTTAGCCTTTGCTACTTATTAGAACGACTTGGGAGACGTAGTGTACCCTGCTGCACTTCCTTTGTAGAGGTGACATGGGCCTTGGAAACCCTGGCATATGGGAATCATGATTCATGGGTAAAGTTGTACAACCTCTGCAGAGTGTTAAATTAAACTATTATAATAGTCATGCTATCGGTCATGAGCGGCATGAATCCTATCTGATTAGATGGTTACTTGGATGGTTTGGGTTATGATTAAAATTGATGATATCTCTAATCATTCACATTTGGGAGCCTAAGCATTACTTATTTACTCAGGCTTGATAAAATAAAATGTGACCAACTAAAAGTGCTTACCGCAGTTCAGCCGTGTATCCTTTAAGCCTGCATCCTCTCATGTTATGCTTGCTAAGTGGTAGTAGCTTAATTACGCTTATTTTATTTCAATATTTTGGCAAAATCTCGGTTGGGTACCAGATGAAGGTTCTTCTGTGGAGTTTTCCAAGAGGTGTTAGGCTTGTGATCAACCAGTTGATGATTCCTGTGGTGTTGGAAGCTTCGCCAGAAGATTAGAGATTAGTACATTATGTGATGTAAGACTGTCTTTTGTAATGAATATATCTATACGCTATTTAATAAAAAATTGTCTTTGATATTACCCCTCCATTTGTAACTATATTTGTGTGAATTGACTTTCTAGACACACATATAGTATGTACCTGGTTTTGTCCTTAAAACTGGGTGCTACACAGTGGTATCAAAGTTAGGTCGACTGTATGACACAAGCCTAGTTAGAAAATGGTCGTTTAAGATTTATAGTTTGCTATGAAATCCTTGTTCTATAAAACTTGCTATCTTCTTCTATATTATATACCTACCCTTGTTATTCATCTTCTCCTTGTGGCTTGTTTTAAATCTTGTTATTACCTTCACTCCTTGCTTTGATATGCTTTTAGAACTATCTCTTACCACATTCTTGCGCAACATCAAGATGGATCCTTAGAGGTTGAACCCTTGATATAAGAAGAACGTTAGTATCGTGAGTAGAGTCAATGAGTCCCAATGTTTGAATTGTGAACCTTTAATGTTTGAATGATTATCTTAATGCTTATGCTTGTTTTGGATGTTTTGTAATGATTGCAATGATTTTGTGGATCATTTTCACAATTTCACTTATATATAGTGTTAAGGCATAAGGATTAATGATTAGATAGTTGGGTTGATTTTCTCGTCTTTGTGCATGTTGTTTTTCTGAGCAGTCTATGTTAATCAAGTTAGACATCCAAATATGGATGTCCAAAAGTCATGAAAGTTTTATGTATGAAAGTAGACTTTTGTATCTTTCATATGCCACTGTAATCACCTTCGTATATGTTATGGTTTGGGAGTTATGACCTTTACAAGTTGAAGTTTTCTGCACTGTGTGGGAGTCTAAACAGTTTCAGTTATGTCCTGTTTTCGACTAACTTAACCTCTGAATCTAGGACAGTATTCTATAAGAAAGTTATTGGGAATTTCATAAGCTTTCCTGCCATATAAGGCCCGTCTTCATATGATTTCTGGAACTCGAGATATGACTATTTTTCTGAACTTGCTATTGTTAGTTCTCGTCCAAAAAATATCAGATTGACCGTTTTATCATGTAAACGACTTCAGGATCATGAATTTTAACCAATACTTGTGCTACATGTTGCAAAGAGATAGTTGCTACCAGGAGAAATGCTTCAAGTGGCGCCAGAAGAAATACCCTCAATGCTAATCCACCGCCACCAAATCCTCCATCTATAGAACAAGTTTTGATGACACAGACTCCACTCTTACAGACCATTGCTCAGAATGTGTACAACAACTGGCATCAAGCACCACCGGAGGACAAGCGTGGTGAATTTATGAAGGGACACCCGCCGACATTCTAATTTGGGCAACAAGATGCAAATCAGATTAGTTGGGATGAATTCAAGACTGCTTTTAGATCTTACCATGTTCCTGCTGAAGTGGTGACAGTCAAGAAAAAGGAGTTCCGCAACTTGAAGCAAGGCTCCATGTCGGTGTGTGAGTATCGTCACAAGTTCACTCAGCTGTTAAGCTATGCTCCAGGAGAGGTGGACAATGATGCTAAGAAACAAGACCACTTTCTAGAAGGACTTGAATGGTGGACTTCAAGCTGCGATTGATGACCGTTGTGTATCTTGACTTCCAAACATTGGTGGATAGGGTCATTGTGATTGAGAACAAGCGTCCGGGAGATGGAAGAGAAGAAAAGGAGAATTCAAAGCCAATCCACATGTAGCAACACATGCCTCCACTACACTCCCCAGTAAGAGTTGCAACAGAGGTACCAAGAACCAACTGGTCAATTGGAATATCAATCCTCCTCAACAATTCCCTCGGTACCAGCAAGAGCAGCGATTTCAATAAATTTTGTAGGAAATGTAGAAATAATATGTATTGTTATGAATAATATTTCTGCTGCCTGAGCAGAACATGTTTATTCCAGTGCATGCTTGTGTTGCATCTTTTATATATGCATAGAAAAAGCATGAAAAGGAGATAAAATAAGATTCTCTAGAGAATATGGCTAAGAAAATACTAATGCTTGGCCTTAGTTACACATTTGTATGAAGTATTATTTTTTAGGTACTGTGCCAGGTTGGATTCTTCTAAATTTAGTAGGATGGCCTAGTGCACTTTGAAGATGTAGTGGGATGAGGTGAAAACAGCCAGCGTTGCCTCACACTTGGGAAATTACAATCATTCCAATACCGTTCTTGCCCAACACAATCGGAACGAGGTTCTTTGCCGAGGGCGGATACGCTTCGACAAAGGGCCTTTGCCCTCGGCAAAGGCTTGCCGAGAGTTCCTCTCGGCAAAGGCGGTCGACACAGATACCTCACGGCAAAGGCTACTTTGCCGAGAGCACGCATCTCGGGCTCTCGGCAAAGGATTTGCCGAGGGTTAGCCGACCCGTCGGCAAAATTTTTCGCCGTGATTGGCGAGAGGTCCTGATAAAGTTGATCTTTGCCGAGAGCCTTAGCAAGCTCTCGGCAAAGAATTTCTGAATTTTTTTCCA